ATATGTTGATTAATGGTTTTCTTTCGTTTTTGATCTACTGCAGAATATTTTTATAAAACCCAGAACAGGAAAATCACCTTCATGTTTTTCTGTTTTATCTTCAGCTACTTTGACACAAAGGCCTCTGCTGTGACGCTCACACCTTTGATAAAGTTTGGAAAGTGTCAGCTTCCTTTTCATAGATACAAAAATATGTAAATGTACTGATCTGAATTATAATATTTCTGACTGTCAAAATTCCCCAGATTCAAATCGAATCGAATCGAATCGATTCGAGACCTTGTGAATCGGAATTGAATCGATTCTAGAAATCAGTGATGATACCCAGCCCTACTCTTTACTGTTTGCAGTTAGTACAGAACGCTGCTGCAGCCTTTTATCAGGTGGCAGACTGCGTGATCATATGACTCCGGTTTTGCTAACTTACGCTGGCTTCCTGTGAAATTTCGCATTGATTTTAAAATTCTTTTACTCACTTATAAAATCTTAAATAACACAGCCCCTAGCTATTTAACAGAACTTCTTCATTTGTATAATCCTAAAAAAGCACTAAGATCTTCTGACCTGATGCTCTTAATGCAGCCTAAGTCTGGGTTGCAAACCAGAGATCATGTCTTTGCTATTGCAGCTCCGAGACTGTGGAACAACCTTCCTATTGCATTCGCTCTTCTGAGACCGTTCAGCCTTTTAAATCTCGTTTAAAGACCCATCTTTTTACTCTGGCTCTGACGGAAAATATTTTGATTATTTGGTTGGTTTCTATGGTGTGAATGAGACTCGGCGGGTCCAGGGATCATAGGTTTGTCCCACCACGACACACCCCAACCCGAGTCCCCGTGTTTTTAACTAGGCGGGCGTGTTTAAGGGTGCCGGAGACCACGCCCACCACAGTAAATTTGTCTTATTTTATTTATTTCCTAACTTGTGAAGCACTTCAATCAAAACTGTTGTTTTTAAATATGCTATATAAATAAATTTTGATATTTTTATTTGATTTTGATCATCATTGTCGGGTCTTCACCTCGCGATATTAAGCACGGTGAGGCGACTGTTGCTGTGATTTGGCTCTATGTAAATAAAATGTATTTTTATTTAATGGAACACTAAGAGTGAAACATCAGTGGGTGACATTTCAGATGCTTCCCCATATTTCATATAGAACCAGCTCAGAAACCAACAGATCAACATCATGTTGTATTCTCTGTGCTTACTGAGACAGACCCGGCTTTACAGTCTTTGAGCAGGACGACCATTTTCTCATAGACGTCTACACAGTCTGGGCTTTTCTGCACACCGCAGACATAAACCACGTTTCAGAACTGGAAGCTACGGCCATATTTCATGATGTCACACATCTCCACCAGCAGCCACAGAAAGCTTCTTTTACGTCTTTCGCACATGCAGTAATTCTCTAAATGCTGCAAGACCCACAAACGGCAGCTCAGATGCTTCGGAACAACCACATCTCCCAGAAACTGCACGAATGGATCTGACTGGGAAACCGAGCGATGCTGCAACACGTCGGTCAGGCAGGCCCTGATTCATACTCTACTGGACACTAATGCAAACCATAGTTTACAAAATGATCATCATGTGGTGCTGAGAACATAAACTCAGAATTTACCGAGCTTATAATTTGATTGAGCGGATGAGTCGCCCCCTGCTGGCCATTATCAATAGCGCAGGTTTAAACCACATGTTGGGTAACGTTGCTGTTTATGTGTAAACTATTTTCCTTTACAGCAGCTGGGCTCCACGGTGGAAACATTTTGCTGCATAAATAAGAGAAATTGAGAGTTGGGTGATTAATCTTTCATCTTCCTGGTCTACAGCAGCCTTTCATTTCTAGTCGGCGCCGATCGCCGCTTTAATCAGTCCCAAGTACAAACGAGCGCACGCAGACTTCAGATCAGCTTCAGATGATCAACAACGATTCTCCGAGTAACAACGGAGCAAAATTAAAGTGAGATTTGATTGTTCTGTTATCTGTTCTCGGTCAGCAGAGCTTTGTAGGGTTTTTGTAATGTTTTTGTCAGCCTGTTGTCATTAAATGCTTTCTGAATTTCGCTGTTATCGCTCCCTGTTTTCTCCTCTTTTTGAGCAATTTCTCACCATGAAACACAAAAGCAGCCTGAGAGATCCTCTGGTAATCACTTCTCGTTATTTCTCACTCGAACATTAAAACCTAGTAAAGGTTTTAGCTTCTTCTCATCTCTGGCAGATCCTTCCACACCGAGGAACCCAAACAGAAACCTGCCGATCATCCTATCCATATATTTAGGAATATTAAACATCCCTGGGTTTTCCTGCAGTGCTTAGAAGAGCACAACATGAATACTATCCTAAAACATTTTCATCTTCTATCACAGGGTGACAGCATAGCTTAAAACGCACCGATATGAGAAACAGTTCACCGTTTATACTTAATAAGATCACATCTTTCCTGTACTTCCAACTCCTCAAGCATAGCCACTATTTTCTATGTTAAGCTTACAGCTCCACATCTTTCTTTTATGCCTCATGCTGATACTTGAGTAGCTTTGCATGAATAACTGTTTAAATTAATCACTTTTAACTCCTGCTGAGCCTCAGTGCAGCTGCTGAGTTTTTGCTCCTCCTCCTTTGAGCCAAATTTCTCCTCATTGGCTGTCCCATAAAGTGGGTGTGGTTTTCATACTACAAGCTGACATCATAGAGAGCAAAGAGAAAAAAAAACTGTCTGATCCATCACATTTTCAGCATATATGAGATGAATTAAACAGAAAAGGTTTAATTGAGACGCAGTAATACATTAATAACTTCTCAGTGCTCTGCAGTTTCAAACCAGCAGCTTCAGGATTTGGATCAACATCAGTTGTTTTATCTGACTCCTTTCAACATACGTGATCAGACTGATTTAAAATCATCTGTCCATGAATCGTTCGTCACTATGAATGTCTATTTTTTTTATTACTTTCTTTCCTGTTAGCTCAAACGTTTGAGGTTTCCTTCAAGTTTCTTGGTCAAAATCTAAACAAACTCCTACAAAATCAATAGATAATGTTTTGGCCGACTGCATATTTTACCGACTTTTCTCTTCAAACATCAATAAAATATGCAGTTTGCCCCGGGGCGACCAAACTCTTTGCTGCTGCAGGTGTTTGTTTTACTGCACAGGGAGTCTCGAGCAGCAGAGCCCGGCAGGTCAATGTCTCGTGCTGTCCACTTACTTCTGGAGAAGGAGACCCTCCTGACCCGCCGACACACTTCAGAGGTGTGCTTCTCATACCACAGGTGGCTGTCGTCACAGTACCTGCAAGACAAGATGACAGCATGAAGCGCTGAGCTGGAGCTTCTGCTTCAGAGTCAGCTCGCCACGAGGGGGAACTTCAGCTTTCAACAGACAGAAATCAGGCTTGTTTTGAGCCACGTGTCCGAGCAATTCAAAATAAAAAAGCAAAAACAGTCTTCACATGGAGGTGGTGATGGTCTCTGATCACACCAAAGCACAGCGGGCAGACATAAATCTCTGCAGGACGTCCTGAGTTTGCCCAGGAGGTCTCCACCAGGTAAGACATGCCTGAAACCCCTCACCTAGGAGGTGTTCCTCTCAGGTCACTTCAGATGTGTCATTAAGAAAGGAAAAAAAGGTTTTGGCAGCGGGGGAATTAAACCACCAGGACTTCCACCCTGAACGCTGCCCGGCCCACAGACCACTTCACCTCCACAGCCCGACCTGCTGAGCGATCGGGCCAAAGAGCCACAGTCTGGCCTCTTCCTCTGACCCGGCTCCAGCACGCATCCTGGGGAAGGTAACTCGCTCTTTTCTTCTTCATCACTCGTAGTAAGAGCTGTAAGCCCCAAACCAGGAGAATGGCACCGGCGTTAACCCTCAAACAAGCAGGGTAAGAAAAGTCAGAGCACCTCTGATGCCACGAGGATTACACCAGGAGCTCAGTGAGGCCCCGGCTCAGACCTGGGATGTCAGGCATGTTTAACCACATGGGGGCCAAAAGAAACTACTGATCATCATTTTGAGTTGTTGCAACTTATTAAAATTTCAGCCAAATCGACTGACCTGTCGCAACATTGTTTCACTTTGATATTCAGGGTTTTTTTAATCCAGCAGGTTGATATCTTTGTTTCCATCAAACAGCATGAATAACACATCCAGCATGATTTCTTCTCATTTTCTGAGCAGTGCTCATTAGATCGAGAACACAAACAAACACCTGCTGTGAACTGTCACGAACGACGTCAGCCACTCGTTCTTGTTAAGAAAACTTCAGAAAGCTTCACCCTGTAATTTCTGTCTACCTGTGT